TCCCCGAAGGGCCTGGCGGGGACCACCGGCCAGCATTTACAGATCACCCTCCGCCACGGCCCATTTGGCCCTCTTCTTCCAGGCTCTTCTCTATGCTGCACACTATTCTTGTCCAGTGCTGTTGGACTGGGAGGGGCATTGTCCTTGTTTTGGGGCCCTTCTTACTATTTGAATTCATGATGTTCAGTCTCTGCTAATGTGATTGCTGTCAGGTGCCAAGGGATTATCATTTGGGTTTGCAGTTTAGTTGGTTCTCCAAATGTATTCTGAAAGACACCGGCTGCTGGTCTATTACATAACTTAGAAACAGCTTCGTTCTCGAAGATGAATGGCCTATGTCATTTTGGCTGGCTGCACTGCCTGCCTCCCTACAATGATTGGAGAGTCATACCTTCTTCCTCTTTTGGCAGAGAGTCCTTCCTGATTGGACTCCAATGGGAACCTAGATCCCCAACATATGACACCATAACTCTTCCTGCTTAACACCCTGAAATACATGTGTTCCTGCAGCAGGAGCCTAGGGGAGTTATCCTAACCATTCCAGGCCCCGTAAGGAGTAGGGACTTCAGGACCTGCACCAATGAACACCTGAAGATCCACCAGGGTCCCCTGGCTCATTTCTGTGAACCCTGGGACAGAACACCAAACAGTCACTAAAACAGACATAGCTATAGTTATAAAGTTGTTTGATTAACAGAGCAGCAAATGCTGAATTAGTAGGTAAGTTCAACTGCAAGTTCTGTTATTCTTGGCTTTTACATTTCAAATGTTGGCTTTTATTTTTCCTATGAGCATGGGATATCATGGTCTGAGAGGCTGTTGACTAGGTGTCCCAGACTACAGTTTTCTGAGTCTAGACCCCAAGCCAACAGTGCTTAGCTGCTGTGGGGCCTTCTCAGAACCCCTGTTCTAGACTCTTCAACATGATACAATCCTGCAGGAAGGAGAAGAAAACCCAGGGGGAGCCACTTGGCTTTCCAAGTGCAGCTAAGGAATGTTCTATGGTGGAAAGAATGGAGCATCTTCCGTAGACAGACAACAAATGAGGTATCTGAATTTATCCCTCCTGTGTTCAAACCTGTGAAATTCTTCTCTTTTCCTTCTCATAGTTACTTGAATGGACTTTATTTTCCAACTAGGCCATCTGGCCTCCTCTGTTACTGGGCTAGATTGTCGCATTGCCAGGACTCTGAACAGCCAGGCTGTGGGGTTCGCTCTCACCTGGCCGAGTCTTACTACTGTGCTGGCAGGTGGTGGAGAGGCTTCGCCTGGATAGGGAGCTCAGAGCATCGGCTCCTGGTGAACTCAGCTAGCAGGTTAGTCTTCGTTCCCGAGCTGCTGCTTTGCCTCACAGTCGACACAAAGCCTCGGGTGCAACACAAAGCCTCGGGTGCGACACAAAGCCTCGGATGCGACACAAAGCCTCGGGTGTGGCACAAAGCCTCAGGTGTGACACAAAGCCTCGGGTGTGACACAAAGCCTCAGGTACGTGGTCCGTTCTAGCTGGCGCCCTTCAGCTGAAGTTCATCCAAAGCTCAGGGAGTCTGCGTGTGACAGGCATCTGTGAAACTCCCCCTACATGATCAATCGTAACTGCCAGGGAAAACGGCCCCTCACTAAACTGGTCTGTGACCCTTCTCCCTGAAGAAGTCAATCAGACCAACTCCTCTCTGCTATTGGGAAACGCCTCCTGGTTCTGGGTCCTCTAAGTCCATCCCTTTTTCCTCCTTCCCCTTCATTTAGGCAACATTTTCCATTTCTAAGGACTCGAGAACCACAGTTCACTGAAACAATACTGAATCATGACTGGACAACCACGATCTTGGGTAGACAGCTCTTCCAAAGAACTCAGGGAACTGACAACCCCAGCAGCTTGCATGTGTTATGTGCTTCCTCTATGCCAGGTCCGCACACTGTCTGTGAGCCATCTTGTGTACTTGTCATGATCTAACTCACACAAGCCACTTCGATTCCATCATGGCCTGAGACTCAGGAAGGCCAAGTAGCTTGCGCACAGTAGTCACATAGCTAGTAACTGGGACTCCGACACTGGAACTTCTCTCACTCGAGCTCCTGCACTCCCGCTCCCGTTTCTGGGAGGGCAGCTGCTGCCCCCCCCCCCCCCGCCATGAAGCCCCTTTTACAGAGAAGGCAGCTTGAGGTCAATGACCAGGTCAAAACTCGAATCCCAGGCAGTGGTTACCTACCCTGGAGGCTCATTAGAATCACCTGGGGAGTTAAAAATACCACAAAACACACAGTGCCCAGGCTGCATCCTTAACAAATGTGATTTAATTGCTGTGGGGAGAGGCCCCAAAAGTGGTATTTTTAGAGAGCTTCCCAGGGGATTCTGAAAAAATGCAGCCAGGTTTGAGAGTCTCTGACAGACCTACCCGTTCCCAGTCTGAAGGTCACCCAGCCAAAGTGCCTCACCTTATCTCACACACCTGCAAGTCCAGTACAGCTGGGAAGCGCCTGGAGGCGGGCGGTCAGGTCACCCCCACATACCCCCATGCGAGCTGAGGACATTCGATCAGCTTGCTCATTGGTAAAATGGGGAGAAAGTGGAGGTGCAGGACTCCGGATTACACCTGAGGATGTCAGATGCCTAACCTAGTGCCGAGTCAGTGCTCAGTGAACGGGCGTGGTGTGAGGACACTTGCCATCGTCTTAAGGCAGGAGTTTTGTGACCCTAGTGCAGATTTCACCCCCCAAAGGCAGCATTTGGTTAGCCACAGGCACCTGAAACAAGCACCATCATACTTTTATCAACACTGACTCCTTCAAGTCAGTCCCAGACACGCACGCGTGTGTGCGGATGCGCGCACACACACATATACACCCCTCAGCATCTTCACACCAACATATGTGTGCAGGAAGTGGCCCCTTTAGCAGCATTCTCTGTAGATAAGCCCCAATAACAGGTAAGTGAGGCATTCTGGGGTTATCAGGGCAAATCATGGCAGTTTTTACTGTTGGTCTGAGTGTGCCAGAGGCCCAGGCAGGACCTCCCATTACAGAGGAAACGCAGAGAGGAATCTCTTACTACTCACTTGCCTAATCATTTCCACTTAACACACAGTGAAAGCAGAACTTTGTGACACACTTGCGCTGTCTGGCCAAAGGTTCTGCTTTTTCTGGAAGATCTTGGAAAAAAAAAAAAAAACCCAAAACTTGTCCCTGAGGGAGGGAGAGCATCTCAGGCTTGCATGCATTCCACGAGCATCCATGGTCACTTTCCTCGCCTGTGTGCCCGGCGCTGTGCTGGGGACCAAGCCCTGAGCACAAGTCGGAGATGTCGCTGCCCTGGAGGCAGCAGTGGTCCTAGAGAGAAAACAAAGGCGAACAGGCAAGCCCCGCTTGAGTTGCCAGGACTCTCTTTCTGGGTTACCTGCAAGGGCTCTCATTCTGTCCATGAGCGCCCTGTGTAAGGAACCTCACGGCAATGTCCATATTCAGCAGTCTGCACCAGTATGGCCATCTGGTTATCAAACTGCTGAGACGCAGGGTGTCTAGGTGGCTCAGTCAGTTGAGCATCTGTCTTCAGCTCAGGTCATGATCCTGGTGTCCTGGGATCAAGCCCTGCCTCTTTGTCATCAGGGTCTCTGCTCAGCGGGGAGTCTGCTTCTCCCTCTCATCTGCCCCCCTTCCCCCACCCTGCTCAGTGCACATGCAAGCACTCTCTCTCGCTTTCTCAAATAAATAAATGAAATTTTTGAAAACAAGAAACTACTGAGATGCTTCTGAATCAGTGGACAAATTGCAGCTGCCCTGCCACCCCACTACCCACCCCACCCCCACTACCATGCGGAAAGAGTTAACTCCTGGCACACAAGAGGTCTCAGGACAATGTTCTGGCAGAACCCTTGCCTTCCGACTGGTTAGCGCCTGTGGGAAGAAAGTTGGCCAACACTTGCCCCTGCCCCTTGGTAAGCGCAGCTCCAGAATCTCTATATAGAGAGGTCTTACAGGCCATAATCTACTCGCAAGGTAGAGATTAGAAACCTGTCTCCAAGCTGCATATGCATAAGTTCATGATTTTACCTCAACTGCTTGTCTATTTGGGATAGCTTAGGGGAGCTGATGCTGTTTTCAGGGGCTAAAGTCCTTCCCACCACAAATCACTTCCTGGCAATGCATTCACTCTTAACCTGAAAATTTTAGGATGTCTGTATTTCCCGAAAGACCCCTCCTGAAGAAAAAGAAACTCAACTCAATCTATGGAAATACCAACAAATACATTTTTAAAATTTTGCTATTCAGAAAGATTGATCATGGTGTTCCATTCTGTGTGAGCCTTGCCCTGATGGGAAGATTTATCAGGAGGGTGCTCACTGGCAACCTGGGACACGGCCCCCAGAGTTTGCACACGAGAGGCAACTCTGAAGGCTGCTACCAAGAGATTCATGTGTTCTGCTTGGACAGCAGTGTTGTTCAAATGGGTGCCCAAGAAATGAGTGTTTAATGATGGATGGTGTGGTCACAGGTCTGAGCCCTGTTCTTCCCCTGCTTTTGCATCTCGCACCCCCGCTGCGTCTCCTGGCTTCTTGCTGGGTCTGATCAATGGGAGGTATTGAAAGGTGATCAGAGGGTGGGAGTGAGGAGAAAGCCAGGATATTTCTCCTCCTTCCTCTCTGCCGCAGGCAGCATCCCAAGCTGCCATCTCTAACCTTGGTGGTACCAGTTCCCACAAGATGAGGCTCCCAGCTTCTGCCCGGAGAGAGATCCCTGGGCTCCTGCAATTCTGCCTCCTCCTTCTTTGTCTTCCAGCTGGGGTCATTGGCTTTCTGCTGTTGGTAATTAGGGGCCCCTGTTGGCTTTCCCGCATCCCCATCACCGGTGCGACCAATTCCTTGCATGAAATTTCCTCTGTTGCACTCTGTGTGGTGTCTCTTTTCCCAATCAGACTCTCATTGATACACAGAGTAACTGTGCTCTTTAGGACATTCCTTCCCCTCCCTGGGCGTCAGTTTCCTCATTAGTAAATGAGACTGGGGGAAGAATTTGCCAAACTTTATTTAGCTTCATGGCATCTATGGATGTTGGGCCCTGCATGCTGGGGGACCTACAAGGATTAAAATGCCTCTCACACTTCAGGGTGGTCTGGAAATAAGTACTTCATTTTGTTTTTCCCAAAGCAGTTTCATTTTGAGCTGCAGTTTCAAATCCTTACTTTGGAAACAGGCAGGGTATAAATAACAAGGAATATATTTTAACTCTGTCATTTAATAAGCAATAGATTCATTGTCTCTTTCATACCCACTTCATAATTTGACATTTCCTTATCTTGTCTTTAAGTGCTGGAGGTCTGAATGGTTTCCCTCTAGTCTCAAAACTGTGCCATTTGGTGGTACAGCCTGTGTTTGTGGTTGTATCTCAATTCCTTTTGCTTTTTTTTTTTTTTTTTTTTTCTTCTTTTTAGTCTTTGGGCCATATAAATCACCATCTTTCTGGGTTGAGCGATTCTCATCGTTTAACTTCTCCTTCAAAGATCTGCATGGATTGTGGTTTGGCCAGAGAGTGGTTCTGTTGGTTTTCCTCCTCCCTCTGCAAGTGCTCGGGTGTAGGCAGCCCCTCACCTCCCCACCCCACCCATTCCCACCGCAGAGGTTCTGCGGAGCCTGGCATGGAGCAGCCCCTGTGGTCCTTGCTGGGCCCTCTTGAGCAATCCTGGTTGGCAAGGCCCATGAACTTCCTCAGCTACCCCCTGAGCTGGTGGGGAGACGAGACCCAGGGAGCTGCAGAGCTGGAAGCACGTGTTGCTCACAGCCAGATCCGTGTCAGGAGTGATTCAGCAGGCAGTGACGCATCCACTTCCTGGAACTGTACTCCAAGAGGAAGGACAGGGATGGCCACACACGTGGCCTCGTCAATGCAGCCCAAGGGGTTTGGAGTCAGACATGGTTCCATCACACACTCGCTGTGCGAACCTCTGCAATAATAAGAGTCAACAACGTTTGTTAAGCTCTAACTATGTGATAGGTACTGTGCAAAGCTTTTCTGCTTGTATTATCTTGTTTAATCCATACAGTCATATGGGATAGATTTTACGGATGATGAAACAGGCTGGGAGCAATTAAGCAACTTGACCAATGCTGTATTAACTAGAAAGTGCTAAAGCCAGGAAGTACCCAGGATCGATCTACTTTCCTAGGCACTTTGCCATCTACTTTCCTAGGCTCTTTGCATTCACTCAATGCAAGTGAATTCCATTTCCAGGCAGTTACCTTTTTCCCTTGTCTTTCACATCAGGATATTAGCGCCTGTCTTGCAGTGTTATTTCATTCTCTTGCTCTGTCTTTCTCTCCCACTTAACATTTGTTGAGCTTCTAGCTCATCTATGCCCCGAGTTACAACTGGATAACAGTAGGATTCACTAGCCAAAAAACCGAAATAATTTCAAATAATTCAATAAGTATGCAAAATTTACCTGCTGGGTGGAAGGTATTTGGGGAGTCTCTCTTAGGTGTTACGTGAACCTGGACTCAAGTGAGTCCTCAGAATGCACTTAAAGAATTCATAACACTGCATCAAAGCAAATCTTGAGAAAGAAGAACAAAGCTAGAGGTATCACAATCCCAGATTTCAAAATATACCAGAAAGCTTCAGGAGTCAAAACAATATGGTATTGGCACAAAAATAGACAGATCAATTGGACAGAATAGAGAGCCCAGAAGTAAATCCACACTTACATGGTCAATTAATCTATGACAAAAGAGGCATGAATATACAATGGGGGAAAGACAGTCTCATCAATAAATGGTGCTGGGAAAACTGGACAGCCACATGCAAAAGAATGAAACTAGACCACTCTCTTACACCATAAACAAAAATAAACTCAAAATGAATTAAAGATCTAAATGCAGACCTGAAACCATAAAACTCCCAGAAGAAAACATAGGCAGTAATCTCTTTGACATTGGCCTCAGCAACATTTTTCTAACTATGTCTCCCGAGGCAAGGGAAACAAAAGCAAAAATAAACTATTGGGACAACACCAAAATAAAAGGCTTTTGCACAGTGGAGGAAACCATCAACAAAACAAAAAGGCAACCTACAGAATGGGAGAAGATATTTGCAAATGATATACCTGATAAAGGGGTAATATCCAAACTATATACACGATTTATACAACTCAACACTAAAAAAAAAAAAAAAAAAAACCCACAAAAAATCCCAGTTTGAAATGGGCAGAGGACCTGAATAAACATTTTTCCAAAGAAGACATACAGATGGCCAACAGACACATGAAAAGATGCTCAACATCACTGATCATCAGGGAAATGCAAATCAAAACCATAGTGAGATATCACCTTACATCTGTCAGAATGGCTAGAATCACAAGAAACAAATGTTGGCAAGGACATGGACAAAAACCTTCATGCACTATTGATGGTAATGCAAACTGGTATAGCCACTGTGGAAAACGGCATGGAGGCTACTTAAAAAATTAAAAATAGAACTACCCTATGATCCAATAATCCCACTACTGAGTATTTACCCAAAGAAAACAAAAACACTAATTTGAAAAGATATGTGCACCCCTTTGTTTATTGCAGTTTCATTCACAGTAGCCAAGATATGGAAGCAGCCCAAGTGTCCATTAATAGATGAATGGATAAAGAAGATGTGATACACACACACACACACACACACACACACACACACACACACGCAGGAACATTACTCAGCCATAAAAAAAAAGGAGATTTTGCTGTTTGCAACAACATGGATAGACCTAAAGGGTATTATGCTAAGTGAAATAAGTCAGACAAAAAAAGACAAATACCATATGATTTCACTTATATGTGCAATCTGAAAAACAAAACAAACAAACAAAAACCAGACTCTTAAATATGGACAATGAACTGTGGTTGCCAGAGGGGAGGTGTGGGGGGTGGGAGGTGGGCAAAATAAAGGGGATTAGAAGATACGAACTTCCAGTTATGAAATAAATAAGTCATGGAGATAAAAAGTACAGCCTAAGAAATATAGTCGATAATATTTCAGTAATGCTGTATGGTGACAGATGGCGACTACACTTGCGGGGAGCACTGAATAATGTATAGAATTGTTGAATCAATATGCTGTACACCTGAAACTAATATAACGTTGGATGTTACATATGCTTCAATAAAAAAGGAAAAAGAATTCAGAGCACTATGACCCAGTGGAGGTCCCCACCCCATTTGCACATGTGGAACATGGGGGCAGCGGCAGGGAGGGCTCTGGTATAAGCAGAGAGCAATTTGCAAGGAACACGTGAAGCCATCAGATCTTGTCTGTGTCTTTTTCTATCCAAAGCTGTGATGGAGAACTAGTTCACATCAGACCCTGAGGCGGTGGGCTGGGACTGTGAAGTTATTTGGAGGCAGCTGGAACCAGGCATGGTAGCAAGGGAACAGCCCCTTTCCATTTGAGAGTTTAGCAGTCAAGGTCTTGATACTTCAGGAGCGTGCTGAGGGTCTCTGAGGGGGACTGGGGTGGGAGGATGGGCAGAGTACATGTAGCAATATCTGCAGGGCCACCCTTTGGCTCACTTTCTCTTGAAGATAGGTGCATCTCAGCAGGAATGAGTGCCTCCACTCTCAGTTGCCTCTGGAAGGAACCCTCTAGATATGGAAAACCAAACTTATTCATGGGGCAGGAAAGCTATCAAGGAAAGAGATAACTTGAATGAAGGAACTCGAAGCAGCAGTTCGTGTGAAGTGTTAATGGATCCCTGGGCATTGGGAGATGAGCCTGACAATGACTAGAGTAGGAGCCAGTAGAACATTTCTGTACTCAACTCTCTAGGCTTTGCTGCCTTACCAGATACCTGGTGATATTCCCACTGCTCTGTAGGAGAATGAGGGGTTGTCTGGGTGCCTTTAGGAGTGTTGAGTCCTGGCTGGAGGTCATAGATCTGGACCATGAATTGTACATCCTTCCAGAGCCCATGTCAGAGAAAAGCATATTAAAAGTTCGTCTTCTCCCATCCCTGGAGGTAGAATGCCTCAAAGGAAAAGAGCAATCAATGCGCAGCTTTGGATGCACCATCAATTATATACCAAGCTGTGGTAATTTTACTTTCATTTTACAATGGAGAGGATCAGTCACTTGGCTTCCTTACGCACTGTGTCCACACTGTCTGTGTCTTTGCTTTATATACAGCTCACAGCAAACAGGAACTGGATGGGGAAGGATGAAAACGATGATGACGACGACAACAACAACAACAACAATTTAATTGGCCCCCAAAGAGAGCAGAAGCCAGGAAAGACAGCATGTGAGGTAGACCAGAACAACATGTAGGCTACTATTTTCTACTGGTCTGCAAAGTAAGCCATCTGTCCCCATCAGGGAATGGGGACCCTGGGGAGAGAGGTGGGAGAGGAGATACAAATGGGGAGATAATAAAAGAGAGGCATTATTTAGGGGAAATATTCCTAGAATAGTCTATGTGCCTGTATTCGAACCAACTCCTCCAAGGCCTCCCTCTCTGGGGAGAGTTCTTGGAGTCTCTGGGGTCACTACTCCCTTCTCTAAAGGCCCAGAACCCTCCCTCTCTATAGGCTGTTCTCAACTGTGTTGAAATGATTGTTTCCCCATCTGTCCTCACCTTTAGATTTGGAACTTCCTGAGAACAGAAAAACATGGCTGCCACGTGTTGGTACCGTCAGTGTGTGCGGCTGTGCCTGACACACTCGATTGCCTAGTGTGCTCTTGTCATGTACAGGGCCCTCTATGTGCGAGTGACCCCAGGCCAGTCCTGTAATCTGTGAGTGTAGAGCAGGGAGGGCCATCTGTCCTAACGAAATGAATATGTTCACCCAGTTAGATCTTCGATTTCCCCCAAAGTTCTTACCTTTGTTACTTTGACGCCTATATTAACAAAAGTTACAATTGTCCTACATCATTGTGATGTTTTCAGGATCAGGGAAAAGGTATTAGAAAGTTTGTTCAGAGCATGAAGATTGTTTTCATCTTAATACTAAGTGTAAACACAAAAGCAGAACTCCATCTTGTATAGAAGATCACGTGTACATGCTCACACCTGGAAAACTCCAAAAATGAAACTGGATGTTGAGTTAGGATGGTGAGATTACAGTTGTGGTTTTTCTTTTTAGGACAAATTGCCTTTATGGTGTTTATTGTATTTGTGCAAAGACAAATGAATAAATATACAAACAAAGAAGTTAAAAATAGATGCACTGGCAGAGAAGGAAAAACAGAGATCATGCTTCTCTGTCCAAACTTCCGTTACTGGAATAGCAAGCAATGCTTTTTTCTAGCTGTGCAGAAACAGATGATTTAGAATAGCACAGCACCTGGGTGTGGTGAGAAGTTTGAGGAGAAAGCCTCTGAAATTCATGTTACTCCTCCTTTTAGGGTTGGGAACTAGGGTTTGTTCTTGCCCTTCTAGTGGTTGATTGCACTGGCTAACTCAGTATCAGGGAAAGGGCAAGAATTTTTCTATCCATTTCTGGTTGATGACATGCCCATTAGTCATCTCTCCTCTCGCTACTCAGAAACTGTGAATGCGCTGTGTTGCACAACGGCCTCTGGGAACTTGCAGAGAGCACCCATTTAATGCTGGCTAGCCTGGTTCAGAGTGTGAATCTTGCCGAAAATCAAGTGAACTCCATGGAAGTCCTGTGGTTGCTAAGATACTGACTTTAAACGTCAGTGACCATTTTCCCTCAAAATAGCTCAAAAATCATCTATTGTTTGGCTTTAGAAATTGCAAGATGTGCTACACTTAAAGTGACTGGATTAAAATCTTGACTTCACCATTTCCTAGCTGGGTGACCTTGGCTAAGCTACTTCTCCAAGCCTCGTTTTTCTTTCTCCGTCTGCAGGGAGTGGTGATAGGGGACAATTTCAAAAACTACCAAACACTCCAGTTTGAACAACTGTTTTTTTTCTAAGATTTATTTACTTATTTATTTATTTGAGAGAGAGAGAAAGAGAATCTCAGACTTCCCACTGAACGTGGAGCCCGACGTGGGACTCTATCTCAGGACCCTGAGATCCTGACCTGACCTGAGCCAAAATCAAGAGTTGGAAGCTTAACCAACTGAGCGACCCAGGCAGCCTTAAGTTTGAACAAGTTAATTTACATCAGATATGGGAATGAACATGAAAAAGGCTGAAAACAGAAAAGACATCAAAATTTAAATGATTACCATAGGAGTCCCTGTGCTTCATTCCTTGAATATCATTTTTACCATGTTTGAGGTAGATGTTAAAAGCTATGGGATGTGAGCAAGAGGTGATCTGATGCCTCTAGTTGATATTTAGGTTTTAAAAACGAATTAGGGAATGATTTTGCAATAATTCTTCACTTTACAGAATAATTAACAATAGTTTATTATCATTATTATATGTAATATTATATATTATAATTAACATCATTAAGGATCCAGCTATCCTAGTTCATTTCAAACGTGATTTGATTCACAAAATGGTGTTTTGAGCCCAGTTTGCAAAGGCACAGTATTGCAGAATACCAGGTACACATGAAGCTTTCCAGCGGACCCTGGCAAGTGAGACTTCAAACATCAGATAGGAAGGAATCGTACTTGCCCCCTCCGTGGTCTGTAAACGGATACCTCTAGCGTGTATATGCTGACATTGGCAGTGAAGCCCAGCCACTGTGTATGTAATTCTATGCTCTGGGCAAATAGAAAAATCTCTTCCTTTGATCCCTTCCTCACTGAGCCCTTTCTGAACTCATCCTTGGGCTATGTGCCTCACACCTACATCTGGGACCCTCTGGTGGTCTCAGAGGGCTGCCCAGCCTCTGCCCTGGTGCCTTTGTCTTGGTTCCAGCTGGGTGTGGTAATGACACACTCCTTGAGTCCGTGCTTTACAGAATCCTTGTAGCTTTCCTCCTGCTTGGCCTTTCTGAGTGGCCCTGACTTTAAATAACTAAACAGCAAGCTGCTTGGAAGCCAGCTGTTTGGACTTTGGACCTCGGCAACCAACTTGACAGCGACAGTAGCCAACTACTCATCCTGGGACCCTGGGGAAGGTTTACTCATGTGTACTCAGCATTTGGGAACTTGAACTTGAACTTGATTTTCCTCATCTGTAAATGGGGATACTACCGTCTATTATAATTTTTCTTATTAAGTAGATAGATAGGTGCATGTAGCATGGAGTTAGCAAGCTAAGCAAGTAAGCCAGCAAGTAACTTACGAGTGTCATTGGTGTTATTGTTACTATTGCTGTCATTATCACCCTGAACTACAAGAACTATTAGCAAGCAAGTATCAATTTGGTCTTGGTGCAACTACTTTCATATGGGACTTTGTGGCTAGAGATTTTATGTAAATTTACATACAAATGTGTATGATGCCCCAAAGAGCAAATGGATAATCATCTATACTGATGTAGAAACCCAAAGTGAGATAACTAGACACTAATTTCTTTTTGACTTTAGAATGCCCTACATGACTCGGTGTGTGTGCGCATGTGTGTGTGTGTGTGTGTGTGTGCGTGCATGCACAGAGATTTATCTCCAAACCACTTCTAGCTTGGATTAACATTAAAACAAAGTGAAATCTGTGTTCCTTAACATGCATCAACAAACTTAAACTTAGGGAATGAAAGTGGTCCAGTGTAGCTGAGGGGGAGAGAAGAAAATGTTATTGCATGTAGTTTACACACTTGGATTTAGTCCACATAGAGAGAGTCAAGGCAGCTTGAAAGAGAGAGAAAGAAGAGGATTGACTCATAATGCTCATAAATAAGTAAATAAATAGCTAGCTAGATAAACAAACAAACAAGCCCCAGAAAAGGAATTTAACTGAGCAAGAGATCAGGAGTTCTTTTGTGGCTCTGTGAGAGGGTCAAGAATGTTTTCCTGGAGAGAGGGCTTGAAGAGCCCTGGTCTCTTTCTTCTGGAGTCTGAGGGCCATTATGTAAAGGAAAGCATTTGTTCTGCTTTTTTCCTTACTGGATAAACAGGACCGATGAATTAGAGTAAAAGAGATCAAACTGGGCTCAATGGAAGGAAGAACTTTTTTCTTTTTAAGATTTTATTTATTTATTCGAGAGAAAGAGACAGATAGCGAGAAGAGAGAATGAGCGGGGAGGAGAGGGAGAAACAGGCTCCCGTTGAGCCAGGAACCGGACGTGGGCCTCGATCCCAGGACCCTGAGATCATGACCTGAGCCGAAGGCAGATACTTAACCGACTGAGCCACCCTCATGCCCCAAAACTTCTTAACTGTATCCATGGTCCCCCTCATAATGGAATGGATTGCCTCTGGGCCCCCCAGTTTTTGAAGGGCTCAAGCAGGAGCTGGGTGCCCAAATCTCAGGGATGTTGTAGATGATTGGGGGTATGGGAGATTGGTTACGATGACCTCTCTGATCCTTTTTAAGTCTAAATAACATTTTACTTAGAGAATTTCTATGCTTTGTTTTCCTGAACATTAGAATAGATACAATGTAATTTAATGATCCAATCAAATAGGTTGGTCCTTATTAACGTGTGCAAGAAATGGAATTTGCAACTATGCTATATAAATAGATATTATCTTTGAATATTGAAAATACATAATATACAGCAAACTAAACTATTTTCAACTTTCCAAAATAGCTCTGTAGGATCTATGTAGGAGAAGAATTTCTAAAAATATTTCTCAATTCTTTAAAGCTTTTTAAAAAAAATAATATAGACCATCTCAAAGACATGACAGAATTAACCCACTGTGAGTTATACTGTGCAAATCTTTCAGAAATCCTGATTTATGATAATGCATCATTAGTAATTATGCTCATAAAAAAATCCCATTTGTGAGGGGGCGCCTGGGTGGCTCAGTCGGTTAAGCAGCCGACTCTTGGTTTCGGTTCAGGTCATGAGTTCAGTCTCATGGGATCGAGCCTGGAGCCAGACTCCATGCTCAGTGAGAGTCTGCTTGAGATTCTTTCTCTCTCTGTCTCTCTCTGCCCCTCCCTTGCTCACACCCTCCCTCTCTTCGTCTCTAAAAATAAATAAATAAATCTTTTTAAAAAACCTCATTTAAGGATCTGTATGCCATATGTGATTCTAACAGCTCTCTATGAGGTAGATATTTTTAGTATCCCCATTTTAAGGAGGAGGAAACTGAGGT